GATCCTCAAACCGAGACGGGCCAGCACCCCTGGGTTGTTCGGGCTCAGACCTGGACCTTCGAGGAATGACGGATTTGAAGGCCGCTGAGTGCACCTTCGCCTCCCTGAACTTCTCGACCAACGTCTCAATGGAGGTACCAAAAAGTTCAGAGGGCGAAACCGGGGCATCGAGAAGAAAGCCCCTTTCTTTCCTCCCGATGTCTGCCAGGTTCACCCACAGATGCCTCTCTGTCACTACCATAGCCGCCATGTATCTGCCCATAGCAGAGCAGATACTTAGTAGCTTAGTAGCACGGAGAGCGATCCGTGGTGCGAAAGACTAAGGAAGTGACTAAGGAAGCGAGGTCGTCTCGATGAACGTTATCTTTCTGGCCATAGCCCTCCAGCTCAGGGTGAGCCTTCCTTTCCTTCCTGATCTCCATACTGAGATCGAGAAGGAATGGAAGAGGCCGTTTTCGGGTGTCAAATAGCGATGACACGGATGCACACATCCTCTAAACGCTTTGCTAGTGCTCGCCATAATGAATGAATAGTGATCGCTCTTACCACGGAAATGCACGCTTCAAACAAAACAGTCAGTGAAGACGAAGAAGAAGATGATGTGTTCTCCCGGCGCCTATTTATACTATAGTCGAACCGGTAGTGACGTCATGGCTGTCGCCGGCCAACGACGAGGCATTGCCCATAGCGACCCCTAGAGGACGCAGTTCAAAGTTCCCATGAAAGGGAACCTATATGTTTTTCATTGATTTACACATAGATTTAAAAAAAAAAATTTTTGTACTTACTAGATTACACTTCTCTATGAGCCTCTGAAGTGCTATATGTTTTTCATTGATTTACACATAGATTTAAAAAAAAAAATGTTTGTACTTACTAGATTACACTTCTCTATGAGCCTCTGAAGTGAAATAATGGTGCATTTCTCTAAATTGCCTCCGTAAAATTGCTTCATATAAAGTGTGCATATGATCTGAAATGTCTGCTACAAGAACTGACCATTCATGTCTTCTACTTTACAGAAAGTAGGTCTTTATGGCCTACTAAATTGTAATAATCCCATATCTCGAAAACGCTGCAGTAAAATGGTTATATATGAGGTGTGCATATAGTATGGAACGTCCCGTATAACAACTGATCAATGTTTTTTTCTACTTACTAGAAATGGGGTCTTTATAGGCCTCTGAAGTGTAATATTGTGTCATATCTCGAAAACGCTGCAGTAAAATGGTTTTAAATTAGGTGTGCATATAGTATGGGACGTCCCGTATAAGAACTGACCATTGTTTTTTTATACTTAATAGAAATGGGGTCTTTATAGCCCTCTGAAATGGAATGAAAAAAAAGGCCTCTAACACTAGCTTGCTTTATTCATTTTCTATTCTATATGTTTTCTTTTTATTTAAAAAAAAACCTTGCTATGTGTACTGCGTTAAACTAACTGAGACTTGTCCTAGCACTTGCATATCATTACTCTTTTGTTGATTTTGATTGCTTCCATTGTCCTCATTTGTAAGTCGCTTTCGATAAAAGTGTCTGCTAAATGACTAAATTTAAATGTAAAATGGTTTCATGTGAGGTGTGGATATATTATGGGATGTCCCATATACAAACTGACCATTGGTTTTTTCTACTTATTAGAAATGGGGTCTTTATAGAACCTTTTAGGGCCGACGTCACAGTTACGTGACCATGCTAGCTGGAGGCAAAACAAAGGAGACTGAAACAAAGGGGAAACTGGAGGCGGCCAATTCAAACCAGCGCAGCTTCAGCTACATAAGGAGCTTCAAATATCGTCTTATTGTGATGTTGGGTGCCAGAATCGACGTAGTAGAGGCTCCAATTAAAAATTTTAAAGCATACCTGCTGCCACCGCCAGACAAAAAACCGACGACGTGGTTAAACACAATAAAACGAGCGGAATGGACAGAAACGATAGTCAAAAATGCTCGCGTTTGCAGCGCACACTTCTTATCAGAAAAGGTTAAATAAAGTATTGTCTTTTGTTGTTATGTATTATGGTTTGTCTAAAGATTTCTTATGCATCTCACGACTGTCGCGTATGAAATAATGTCTGTGTGCATGTGTGTAAAACAACAAACTGACGATTTATAGGCTTAATGATCTGTAATTGTATATACATTGTGATTGATTGTGGCTGGAATTTTTAAGAACTTGGTAAGAAAAAAATTAAATTCAGAAAGTTATTTATAGGCTTAATGATCTGTAATTGTATATACATTGTGATTGATTGTGGCTGGAATTTTTAAGAACTTGGTAAGACAAAAATTAAATTCAGAAAGTTCAAAATTAGTTTCTGGAATTTTTATTTCTAGAAACACATCTTAATTTAAATGTACTGTATGTAAACTAAAGGTATGTAATGTCACTGTAAACTTACATCATTTACAGGAGATATATACTTTAAAATAACTATTTGTATCATTACATGACACATACATCTTCAAATAATATATCCATCACACTGAATGTTTAACTTTTTTTGTATTTTGGCCCAGTTCACTCTAATGTAGCAGTAAAAATAGTTGCCTGCTGAAATTGAAATATGCATCTTCATGACTAGACAGACACAGGTGAGATTTTCTCCAGCCATTGTTAAAAAAACAAAAACAAGCTAACAAACTTAATAGCTAGTGTTAGTGAAGCGGTCAGGGGAATCTTTCTGAGACATTGATTAGCATGCTCAGGTGTGTTTGATTAGGGTTAGAGCTAAACTCTGCAGGAAAGTGGATCTCGTGGGCCAGATTTGAGGATCCCTGGTCTATAGGCATCTGAAGTAGAATGTCCCATATCTCAAAAACGCTGCAGTAAAATAGCTTTATATGAGGTGTGCATATAGTATTTGACATTTTATATTGGTTTTCTCTACTTATTAGAAATGGGGTCTTTATAGCCCTCTAAAGTGTAATAATGTGTCATATCTCAAAAATGGTTTTAAATGAGGTGTGCATATAGTATGGGACGTCCCGTATAAGAACTGACCATTGTTTTTTTTCTGCTTATTAAATGGGTCTTTATAACCCTCTAATATGTAATAATGTATCATATTTTAAAAACACTGCAGTAAAATATTTTTATATGAGGTGTGCATATAGTATGGGATGTCCCATTACAGACTGATCATTGTTTTTTTCTACTTATTAGAAATGGGGTCTTTATAGCCCTCTAAAATGTAATAATGTATCATATCTCGAAAATGCAGCAGTAAAATGGTTTTAAATGAGATGTGCATATAGTATGGGACGTCCCGTATAAGAACTGACAACTGTTTTTTTCTACTTATTAGAAATGGGGTCTTCATAGGCCTCTGAAGTAGAATAATGTCCCATATCTCAAAAATGCTGCAGTAAAATGGTTTGATATGAGGTGTGCATATAGTATGGGTGTCACGGTTATTTTCTGCTCCTCTTAGTTTTCCTGGTCTTTGAGTTTGTTTTCATTCAGCCCTCGTGTTCCTTGACCTAGTTTCTGTCTCCCCTTGATTGTGTCATTATGTTCAGGTGTGTCTTGTCTATATCTTCATTTGCCAGTGTATTTAGTTCCTGTCTGTTCAGTTTGCCTTTTGTCCAGTCTACTATGTCCATACATGTGTATCCTGCCTGTCTGTTCGTGGATTTACCCACTTGTGGAGTAATAAAAGACTATTTGACTTGATCTTCTTCTTCTTCGTGCAATTATTATTCACCAGTGTGACAATGGTATGTCCCGTATAACAACTGACCATTGTTTTTTTTCTACTTATTAGAAATGGGGTCTTTATAGGCATCTGAAGTAGAATAATGTCCCATATCTCAAAAATGCTGCAGTAAAATGGTTTGATATGAGGTGTGCATATGTGACCCTGGACCACAAAACCAGTCATAAGGGTCAATTTTTTGAAATTGAGATTTATGCATCATCTGAAAGCTGAATAACTAAGCTTTCCTTGATGTATGGTTTGTTAGGATAAGACAATATTTGGCTGAGATACAACTATTTGAAAATCTGGAATCTGAGGGTGCAAAAAAAATCAAAATATTGAGAACATCGTCTTTAAAGTTGTCCAAATGAAGTTCTTAGCAATGCATATTACTAATCAAAAATTAAGTTTTGATATAATTATGGCAGGAAATTTACAAAATATATTAATGGAACATGATCTTTACTTAATATCCTAATGATTTTTGGCATAAAAGAAAAACCGATAATTCTGACCAATACAATGTATTTTTGGCTATTGCTACAAATATACCCCAGCGACTTAAGACTGCTTTTGTGGTCCAGGGTCACATATAGTATTAAACATCCCCTATAAGAACTGATCATTGGTTTTCTCTACTAATTAAAAACGGGGTCTTTATAGCTCTCTAAAGTGTAATAATGTGTCATATCTCAAAAATGCTGCAGTAAAATGGTTTCAAATGAGGTGTGCATGTAGTATGGGACGTCCCATATACAAACTGGCCATTCATTTGTTCTGCTTATTAGAAATGGGGTCTTTATAGTCCTCTAAATCGAATAATGCCCCATATCTCTCTTTTTCGACGAATCCTGTTATAATTTGAAAGGTAGAAAAATATAGTAACACACACCCGTCAAAGACACCAATAAATAACCCGCATATTAAAGCAAAAGTACAAAAAAATCTCGAGAAACGTCATCTTGTTCATCATCATCGTCTAAATGAAAAGCGGTCTGAAAGCGCGTTCTCTCTGTTGTTCCTGTAATCATAGTAATACGCGCGCGCGCTAATTTCCGCAGTGTCACGTGGTACGTGCAACTTTTTCCAGCGCTGGTCAGGATGGACCAATGGCAGTCGTTTTTGATGACTGCATAACAATTTTAACTATTTTCATTGAAATTGGTGTTACAATAGTGACAGAAAATGTAAGCTATAACCCCAAATATAAATACGTGAACCACGCTTGGTTAAAAATGTAAATGAAATAAGTAAATATTAAGTGTTTGGAAAAATGCATTCAACTTTTTTTTTTCATGCGGAAACACACGGACTGTGTCTAGCAGCGTTAGCATTATACTTTTCTTTTAAAATCGTAACACAACCGCTACTCATCACCTGTTTGACTGCTTTATTTACCATTAATATAAACAACAGGTCGTGCTTGACGAGTATGAATTAGTGTTTTGGATTTAAGTCACTAAAGTAAACTTTAGACGGACAGGCTAGCATCTAACTTGCAGCCCGAGCTAACAGCTAAAATAGCTCAGAATGCTAAAAACAACGCACACTTTTTAGATCTTTATTTCCACATCTTACTTTCAGCTATTGTAATGTTGCTTATGTTTTCCCATCTGAAAGACCATATCTTATCTTATACCGTTACTAACAGCCGAGCTGGAGTAACCGATTAGATTTATGCTTTAAATGTAAATGTTTGTGTTAAAATGGATATCTTGATTAATCATTTCATCAATAAAATGAACGATAACATCAGCAGGCTGCATTGTAATACATATGAGGGTAAGTAACTGCATTCACAGCTCTTAAACACAATAAATATGTAATATTGAGTTTCTGAAGTGTGAAGTGAAATAATACTTGAATATGGAATAATACTAATCATTCAGTACCATGGTGCACAGTAACGAAAATGCTTCTATTAATAAAAGTTATTTTAAATTGCATCTATATGATAATTTCTTAGAAAAACAAACAAACAAAAAACCTTTACATGTAATGACTAGTAAAGAGTCAAGTAAAAGTAATATCAGTTTTTCTTACATAATAAATACATGTAAGTGCACATATTTTAATTATAATTTTATTAAATGTTTTATAATATTTTTTCAGGGTAAAATGTATTTTGTACATTTCTGTACATTTTTCATCCTTAGCTAAACTTGGTATGCCATAAAGTCAAATTATCTGATATTTTAAGGTTAACATTTTGAAGCATTTTTTCTTCAATATTATATCAAGACTTTATGCCCCCTCAAAATTTAAAAATGTACTTTATTAAAAAAACACATGGTGTATTTCTGAGTCCTTGTATGAATTAGATTTTTACATTTAAATTTTTAATCATTTAGCAGATGCTTTTATTGAAGATGGCTAAGGACTCAGCTGCTCAGATTATGTTGGGCAGGTCTTTCCACCAGCAGTTAAGGTAAATGAAATGAAGGCAAATCTTTGGGATGGCACTACAATGCACCGTTCACTTCGCAGAATGAAAGCCTCTAGAGGGCTTTCTGAAGTCTGAAGTAATGAATATAGGTAAAGGGGTGCATTTTTTCTATAAAGATATAGGAAAAAAATTAACATCATGTCATTGACAGTAAATTGGTTATAAATATTTTAATAGTACGGTATGTTGAAGTATGAGATTTGTAATAAAAATTTTGCATATTACTACTAATTAAAGCTTTCACTGATATTCTAGTCTGATGTGTATCCAAGCATGATAATGAACTTTTGTCTTTGTTA